CATTTAAATGGGGTTGGTTATAAATGGTTAATGACCACAACCAATATTTTTAAAGGCAAAAAGGAGATTATGGTATAGATATGATTACTTTGTTTTAGAATGGATTTTTATTTATTGATACAAATTTAATGTCAATTTTGTGATTATGTATATTTCTCCTCTTGTTTAGATATTGTGTTTGCATAGCTCATTTAGAAATGTAATGTATAATTAGTAAAGTTTATAGATAGTTACCTATAAAAGTCAAAACTTAAGTTAGGTTTTACCTATTATAGTCAAAACTTATAGTTAGATGAGTTAGGTTTTCTATATATACAGAGATGTATTTGAGATGAATAGGCATTCTTCAAACCTATCAAAGACCTACAGAATATGGCATTTAAAATGGACATACAGGACCCACAAAAAAATGACTGCTGATTCTAGATGGACATTGCTACAGAGTTCCTGCTTCATGGAAGAGTCTTCCAGACAGTATGCAGGACACAGAGAAAAGTGACTGACAAACTGCCAATACAGATGGACAGTTAAAAGTTTCCTGCCTTGCTGAGGAGTCTGCCAGACACACTATGGCCTATGGGCTGAAGATGGAAGATTACAGAAGAACTTCAGGTGACTGATCAGGCAGTGAGTTGTCTCTGTCATTTGTAGAGTTTATATATTATCCTTCTGTGGTCTTTGATGGAATTGAAGACAGTTATGGTTATAGTTTTCCTTAGTTAGGATTAAAGATAAGTTACATATAGGACTTTAGACTCACAAAGATAGAATAGATGATGGAATATTTTCTTAAATCTTACTAAATGTTAATGAACTAAATATTGTTAACTGTGATTCTTATTTGATTACTATTGTGTGATATATTCTGCTATGTTAAGGTTAAAACCCTTCTTTTTATTTTAGACAGAAAAGAGGAGATGATGGGAGATGTCATTCTGTAAATATGTTTCTCATGCTGGTTAATGAATAAAGCACTGTTGGCCAATAGGAAAGCAAGATAGGTGGGACTAGGAGACAAGGAGGAAAGAGGAAGTAGGAAGGAGGAGTCAACATGGAGAGACCAGGGAGGGCACGACGCCAGCCCATTCCCCGGTAAGATGAATCCAAGTGGAAATACATAGATTAACAGAAATGGGTTAATACTTAAGACGGAGCTAACCAATAAAAAACAAGTACCTGGCCAACAGTGTTATATCAAATACAGAGTCTCGGTATGTTATTTGGGACTGGCGTGGCGGCGGGACAAGACCAGCAGCGGGAGGAAAACCTTACTCGTTACAGGGTTTAATTTATCCTAGGCTGGCTTCAAATCATTCTGTAGCCCAGGATGACCTTGAACTCCTCTTGCCTCAGTCTAAGTACTGAGATTATATGTGTGCATCACCATACACAGTTTTATTCTGAAGTCAAAAGTACTGATTACTAACTTGTCAAGAACTTGTTTATGAGGGGTTGGAGAGATGGCTCAACAATTAGGAGTACTGGCTTCTCTTCCCAAGGACCTGAGTTCAATTCCAGAACCCATATGACAGCTCACAACTGTCTATAACTCCAATTCCAGGGGGTCCAGCATCTTTACACAGGCAAAACACCAATGCACATAAAATAAAAATAAATATATATGTAAAAAAAGTTGTTTATGGATAGAACACTAAGCAAGGTGACAGGCATTACCAGTTCTTTTAGGACTAAATCCAGTTCCTCTCCTTGGGAGAGGATCCCTGGATATTCAAATATCAGAGGGATAATGCTGTATCTTGATACCCGATGGCCCTTGGAAGGGTCTGAGATGCAAGCAGTGAGGACGGAGATATGGCTAAGGAATAATTGTTGTATGAGTACTGCGTGCTAACCAATTGTGCCACTGGAGCACCCTTTTTGTTTGTTTGTTTGTTTTTCAAGACAGGTTTTCTCTGTATTGCTTTGGAGCCTGTTCTGAAACTAGCTCTGTAGACCAGGCTGGCTTTGAACTCACAGAGATTCTCCTGCCTCTGTCTCCTGAGTGCTGGGATAAAGGTGTGCACCACCAACACCCAGCTCTTACAACAGATTTTTAATGCCTTCTCTTCTTTTTCTTCCTGTTTTCCTTTATTTTGGGACAGTGTCTCACTCTGTAGCCCAAGCTGGCCTGGAACTCTTAGCAATCCTGCCTCAGCCTCCTGAGTGCTGGGACTGGGATTATAGGTAAGGGCCAATATGCTGAAAAGAATACATTCTATTGTTACTTACTTTTACCAATTTTAGGGCTGCCGAGGACATGAGGTCCTCAGAATCTCACTATGTAGCTCAGGCTGGCCTCTTCTTGCCTCTTGCCCCAGCATCCTAAGAGCTAGGATTACCTAAGAGCTAGGTGTGTACCACTATGCCCAGCTGAGGTCACAAGTCTTGCTTGTGACTTTTGTAGGTTGGAAGGAGCTGCTGGGAATGGAGTGACCAGGTATGGAGGGGTTTGGCCACATCATCATTAGGACCTTAAGGAAATATTATCCCTTGGGTGGTAAGAAAGGCCCTCACTCTCTGTCCTTGGTGGACCATAGTGCCCTTAGGTTTTGGCCTGTAGAGCATGACCCCAATGAGGTGAAGAGTGGGTTGACAGCTGCCTACTGTTTGTACACACATATGAATGTGTACTATATAGTGAGGCATTAGTATGCAAGTATATTAATATCTAAGAATACAGAATCTTTTGTGTCTGATTTACCTGGCTGTCAGGTAAATCTGGTTAGTTGGGTCCCCCCCCCCCAGGATTCATTCCACCAGTTTTGAGTGTATGTCAGGAATAAAGCCCCTTATGAGAGTTCCTGCTTTAGTGCAGAAAGGCTGGGGACAAGGACATTGGGGAAGTGGAGAGACTTAGCCCAAGAGTATGGGCTTGAAGGTACTGGGTAGCATTCGATGCTGAAGAGATAAGATGTGAATGCTAGGGTCTGAGCATCTCATTTTGGGGAGCAACTTCCAATCAGAGGGTCCCCACTTTCCTCACCCACTCACCAGCTCTTGGCCCATGGCCAAACGGAGCCTCTAGGGCTATCCTCAGCCCTGATCCTCAGCCTGTGTGTCATGGCCCTTTGTGGGGAAGTGTCTAACAACCCTTTCGCAGGGGTCACCAAACAGATATTTACAATAAAATTCATAACTAGCAAAATTGCAGTTATGAAGTAGCAACAAAAATAATTTTATGGTTGGTGGTCATAACCACATGAGGGATTGTATTAAAGGGTTGCAGCTTTAGGAAGGTTGAGAACCACTGTTCTAAGGTGATGGGAGTCCATGGGAAAAGTGAACTGGTCACAGCTGCAAGAAGAGGACCTGGATCTCACCCAAACCCAGAAGGCTACAGGGGCTCTTCTGGTAGGATGAGCTTTTATGATGAGAGGCAGGAATTCTACACCAAGGCAGAGGGGTGTCTGCTCTACTGACATTCAGCACAAGTTCAACACTTCTTTGAAGTCTCAAGGTTTGCTTATTTGTTTGCGGGGTGTGTGTGTGTGTGTGTGTGTGTGTGTGTGTGTGTGTGTGTGTGTGTGATGCATGTGTTCATGTGGGAATGTTATATGTGTGCCTGCAAATGCTCATGCATGTGTGAGTGGTGGAAGCCAGAGGCTGATGGGGAGTGTCTTTCTCTATTGCTCTCCAGATTACTTTTTAAAAAAGGGTCTCTTATCAACTCTGGAACTTACCAGTTTAGCTAGACTAGATGACTAGTTGGCCAACAAGCTCTAGGGTCCCTCTTGTGATAGCCCCCTTGGTCAGGGCTGGGGTTAGATGGATACCAAGGCTTTTACATGGATGCTAGGGATCTGAACGCAAGTCCTCATGATTGTATGGCAAGTTAATTACTGACTGAGCTATCCCCTCAGCCTTTAGAATTCAAAAGTATTCTACTTATGAGACAACCAATAGCTTGACAGAAGACTACTAACCAAGTGCCTTGCTGAACCTGGCCTTTTTCTCCTAATCGTCTTTTCAATTATGCCTTCTATTCTTGTCACCACCTACCTCTCTGTGGTCAGCCTCTGCATGAGTCCCCCTCTGGAGACTGACTACAGGAGTCAGTCTGTCTAGTACCTGTCTGCATTCTCATAGCTAGTGAGGGCTTCCCTATGTCATAGTGTTGGCCAGTGTGCCACAAGCATATTTCCAGGTAGGTCCCTGGGCCACAGGGCTCCTCTATACAGAACCCAGAGGATGAGTGGTGTCAAGAACCCAGCTGCCTGGAGACCAGAACAACCTCTGAGCCCTAGTGGCTGGGGGATGAAGTCCTCCAAGTCCTTGAGGAGGGTTTTACATCAGTTCACCCTGGTGACCCTGCCTTCCTGTACTTTTTAGTCTCTAACATGTGGGGTGCTTTTTCTCTGACTGTGAAAACTGTCCCAATATTGCAGGAGGATCAAAGTGTCTCCAAGTCTAGAGCTCCTGGAGCTTGGAGCCTGGGAGTGGGTGGAGGTGAAGTAACTACAAAAATACAGGGAGTCCTGAGGGACTGGGGCTGGGTGGGAACACAGTCTAAAACAGAGCCAAAGAGACTTCACAGTCCCTCAAACCATGCAGGGTTTAGTCCCCCCCAATAAAACACATATTTGGACATAAATGCCCTAGCAGATATATTCTGTCCCCTCACACTTACTTGGGGACAGGGATGCACACATGATTTCTAACACTCCCTAAATAGGTACACTCTCCCTGTGCCAAGTACAGACAATGAAGCCCAAATATGGATGCTTACATGAGCTAACCCCAATGGAAGTAAGTCTCTCATCTTCACAAGCTCACGGTGTGGGCACGGCATGAAGCTCGGGGCTTGCTTTGTTCACATCTATATCCTATTTAGTCCTCTCTGATACTGTTCTAGCTTCATGGATAAGGCTCAGAGAGGTTTAGCGCATTCTCTGACACTGCCCAGCTAACCTTTGAACTTTAAACCTACCAAACCTCCTTGCATATTAGACTTGCTCACACCCCAAACACAGTTAAAGGGAACCCTGTCTCCCCGAACATACCTGCAGCAGTTGACTCTGCTTCTCCTGAGCCTTCTGGAGACAAGGGGGTGTCTGTCAGGGATATGGTTGTTTCTGCTGTTTGGGTCTCCTCTCCTGAGTATGAGGACATTGGGGATTTGATTTCTTGATGTGTCTCTGTAGGGCTCTGGGTAGGTTGGGCCCCCTCGGACTCTGGGAGTGTGGTGCTGATGGCAACATTCAGCTCTGAGGTGTGAACAGACCAATCTCCACTGACTTCAGTCCTGTCTCCAGAAGTCATGGGAGTGGCAGAAGGCATGCCTGACATGTCAGTGTCTATACTGGAGGCAGTGGTAGATTCTCCACTCACTTCCAGAGCAGCAGACCCCTCCTTCGTGCTTTCCTGAAAGGTCCAAGAGGTGCCGCCCACCTCCATGCCTGAGGTTGTCGTCTCCATATCTGCTTCATGGAAGGCAGAGGTGATTTTGTGAAGATCTGGGAACACAGACTGTTTACTGCTGGCCTCAGGGGCAGCAGACACTCCTACTGCAGCCTCAGGGTAAGCCGATGACTCACTGCTGGCTTCTGAGACAGATGCTTCTACTCCAGACCCAGGGAAGTTTGTCACAGCTCCACCAAGGTCCTCTGATGCCGAGGCTTCCCCACTGGCCTCAACGAGCCCAGGAGTATATGTCACAGAAGGCCCTTGGCCAAGTTCCTGGGAGACGGTTGGTTCAGTCACAGCCTCCACTAATTCTGAAGTGATTAAAGTGACTTCTGGAAGCCCCGAGGTTTCCCCACTACCAGCTGTTGCAACTACGGATTCTCCACTTAGATCAGTGCTGCTGGAAAAGTCCCCACTAAAGTATGGAGAGCTCGGTAGCTCTGTGCTGGGTTCCAGCCCAGACTGCAGTGTGCTTAGCTCCAAAGACCCGGAAAGGTCCCCGGACATGTCTGGTGTTCCAGAATGGGTACCACTGAGTTCCAAAATGCCCGAAGGCCCTTCTCCAGCTTCTTGAGCAGTTGAAGCCTGGGTTACAGATTCCACCAAAGTCCTGTCTACAAGAGACACAGTAGGAAAACCCGAGGCAAGTCCACTGCCGTCATGTGCTCCTGAGGGCAAGCTGCTCCCAGGCTCAACTCCAGAGAATTCTCCACTGACTTCAGCTACTCCACTTGGGAGGCCACTGAGTTCCGGAGCTGGGGATGTGAATCCGCTGGAATCAATTGCTCCAAAAGATTGGCCACTGATGTCCACAGTCCCAGATGTGCCAGACAGGTCCATCTCCCCCGAAGGGAGTCCGCTGAGTTCCACTGATCCTAAGCCTTCTTCTTCTTTAAAAGTGGTAGGGGTCACTTCTACAAAACGGCTGTCCACAAATGTAATGCCAGAAGAGTCCCCACTGCCACTCACGCTGCCAGAAACCAGGTCAGGGGTTATGGGTGTTGTTCCACTGAACACTGGCAACCCCGAGGGCTGCCCATTGAGATCTGGAAGCCCAGAGGTTTCTCCACTGCCAAAGAGAGCTCCAGACCCTTCTCCACTGACACCTGGTTGTCCAGAGGACAGTCCACTAAGCTCAGTGGCTTCAGCTGTCCCGCTGGTGTCAGGAATCCCAAATGTTCCCTGACTGACATCAGAAGACCCAATCGACTGTCCACTAGCATCAAAAAATCCAGAGGTTTCTCCACTGACATCAGGTGACCCGGATGCCTGGCCACTGAGTTCAGTCCCTGAAGGGACACCACTAATGTCCCCACTATTGTCCAATTCACTGAGGGGTAGCCCTGACACTTCTCCTGCACCACTGATGCCGATGGTTCCTCTTCCTTCCTGTTCACTGACAGTGGTGGCTGTGACCACTTCCACTAAGGTACTGTCCACTAGGGAGACAGTGGGGAGCCCAGATGGAAGTCCACTAAAGTCAGGCAGGCCAGAGGATGGGCCACTGCCAATGTCCATTCCAGAATACTCACCACTAAATCCAGAAGGTAGGCCACTTGCTTCTGGAGTTTGACCACTTCCTAGCATTCCAGTAGGTAGCTTGCCAATGTCTGAGGCTCCAGAGGCAGAACCTACCAAATCTTCTTTTCCAGAAGGCAACCCACCAAGGTCCTCAGCTCCAGATGCTGAGGTCTCTAGGCCTTCTTTTCCAGAAGGAAGTCCACTGAGGTCATCACCTGCCCCAGAAACAGAGGTCTCTAGATCCTCTCTTCCAGCAGGAGGCCCAGTAACACCTATTCCTGAAGCAGAACTCTCCAGATCATCCCTGGTAGAAAAACCAAGATCCTCCATTCCAGAGGCAGAAGTTTCTAGACCGTCACCTCCAGAAGGAAGGCCACTCACACCCTCTACTCCAGAAGCAGAAGTTTCTGTAGCATCTCCACTAGAAGGAATCCCACTGACATAGCCTCCAGAGGCAAAAGTTTCTAGACCCCCTGCTTCAGTAGGGAGCACACTGACATCCTCTACTCCAGAGGCAGAAGTTTCTAGACCTCCTGTTCCAGAAGGAAGGCCACTAATGTCCTCTACTCCAGAGGTGGAAGTTTCTAAACCTCCTGTTCCAGAAGGAAGCCCACTAACATCCTCTACTCCAGAAGAGGAAGTTTCTAGACCTTCTGTTCCAGAAGGAAGGCCACTAATGTCCTCTACTCCAGAGGCAGAAGTTTCTAGACCTCCTGCTTCAGTAGGGAGCCCACTAATATCCTCTACTCCAGAGGCAGAAGTTTCTATACTTTCTCTTCCAGTAGGAAGCACACTGACATCCTCTACTCCAGAGGCAGAAGTTTCTAGACCTCCTGCTTCAGTAGGGAGCACACTGACATCCTCTACTCCAGAGGCAGAAGTTTCTAGACCTCCTGTTCCAGAAAGAAGCCCACTAACGTCCTCTACTCCAGAGGCAGAAGTTTCTAGACCTCCTGTTCCAGAAAGAAGCCCACTAACATCCTCTACTCCAGAGGCAGAAGTCTCTAGACCCTCTCTTTCAGTAGGAAGCTGGGTGACATCCTCCATACCAGAAGCAGATGTTTCTAGACTTTCTCCTCCTGAAGGAAGTCCACTCAGGTCTCCCACTCCAGAAGCAGAAGTTTCTAGAGTTTCTCCTCCAGTAGGAAGTACACTGATGTCCTCTATTCCAGAGGTAGATGTTTCTGGACCTTCTTGTCCAGAAGGAAGTCCACTGAGGTCCTCTACTCCAGAGGCAGATGTCTCTAGACCTCCTGTTTCAGTAGGAATCCCACTGATATCCTCTACACCAGAGGTAGAAGTTTCTAGACTGTCTCTTCCAGAAGGGAGTCCGCTGATATCTTCTGCTCCAGAAGCAGAGGTTCCTATTGTTTCCCTCCCAGAAGGCAGCCCGCTAAGTTCTCCTGTTCCAGAGGCAGAGCCTTCTAGGCCTTCACCTCCAGAGGGCAGCCTGCCAACTGTGGGAGTGTGGGACCACTCCACTCCTTCTCCATCTCCTGAGGCCAGTCCACTTTCTACAGGCAGGCCTGAGCTCACTGTGGGATGGAGGCCACTGGAATCAAGGTCACCAGAGGGAAGTCCACTCTCACTGCCCCCTGATGGCTGCCCACTGGATTCAAGGCCTCCTGAAGTTTCTCCGCTGCCTGTGAAGTCACCACTGAGGTCATGTGGTCCTGATGCCTCCTCAGAGCCTGGCAGCTCTGTCCCACTTGGTGATGCAAGTGATGTTGTATAAGGCTTCTCTGAGGCGAAAGGCACTTCTGAGGCAGAGGGCTCTTCAGTGGCAGAGGGGGTTTCAGTGTGGTCCTCTGCCGCTGGAATGGTGGGGAGCCACGTGGGCGGGATCCCTGGAGGAAAGAAGGCAGTAAAGGTGAAGTGTGGAAAGGTGAACTCTGCTCCATTTCAAAGTCATGCATGGATCCAAACTCCCTCCCTACCACAGAAAACATTTTTCAAGAGTGCAGGCAAGTATCAGGCGACTGCTAAGGGATCTGTTTTTTCTGGCAAAGGAGGCAGAAAGGTGAGAGAGGAATAAAGGAAAATGAGACAGGAGAAGGAGGGAGGAAGGAAGAAAAAAGGAAGGGTAGGTGGGTGGATAAAAGGAGGAGAGTGGACTGGGAAGCTCCTTCTACACTCTCAGGATCACAGGCTGTATAAACTGTGCTTTGTGGGACTCCAAAGGCCACCATCTACATTACCCACTGGACATGGGAGCCACCATGAAGAAAACCAAGCTCCTTCTTCAAGAGCTTCTATATTATCTCATATCTAACTCATGATTTTCAGAGTGTGGTCCCTGGGCTACCATCCTCAGTGTCTCCTGGGATCTTGGTCATCTATTAGCTCTGCTAATAGAGGAGTCGGGTGTCCAAGCTTAGGGACTGTTTTCCCAAACCCTCCCAGTGACGCTGGTGTTGTTGGAGTGGGAGAACCCATCTCCAGGTCAGGTGGTACTATTTATAAAGATGCCTTCATTTTTCAAGCTGAGGTGTCTATTATTAAAGAGGATCTGAAAAGTAGAGAAGAAAACCAAAACAACCTCACCGTTTAAAATATGGTTACATTTCCCTCTCTGCCTTGTATTTGTTGATATTTTAAACACAACGTATTTCTGGGTTTGGTAGTGCAGACCTGTAATCCAGGCTACTTAGGAGCAGGAAGATTCTAAGGGCAAGACCTGCCTGGGCTATATAGTGAATTCAAGGGCGCCCACCAGACACCCACCCTCATCTGGGCATTCCATAGCAGGCATTTGTGTGGGTTTGGTATGCATGGCATGCTCCAGAGCCTAGCTATACCCACCTGGTAGTGGGGATGTACCCACTGGGGTATAGGCTGGTTCCCATTCAGTCTGTTTTTCTGCTTCAGTGGTGAAGTCTGGCTCCACTGTTGTCTCTGACTCCAATGGGACAGCATCCACACCAGGCCCCATCTGAGTGACGATCCAGGCCTCTATGTCAGAGGGTGATGTGGGCATGCTACCATCTTCTCTTCCCGGAGAGGGTACCACGGACACACCTGAAGAAGATATGGGAGGTGAGGTCCTGCCTTTGACACAGAGAAGCAAGGGAACCCTGAGGTACACCTGGCCAGTACAAAGCCTTGCTGACCATACCCAACCTCTAAGTCAGCAAGACAGCTGTTTGCCATTTGTATCCATTGTATAATGTCACCGTGTATCCTCTATCCCTAGCAGCTTAGGACAGAGTGGTGTGGGAGGTCTCTCTCCACAGTCTTCGTATATGCAGGACACAAATAGAGCCCTTATGCTTATAAACACATTTCACCTTAATAAAGATGAGATTCACCTAACCAGCGGGGTTTAAAGTGACTCAGTCAGGGTCAATGGCTTAGAAGTACCAGGACTAGTCTTTCTGTTCAAGATCTAATGTGACAGTGTTAGAGTGATAACCTGAGTGTGCCAGGTCCTGAAATTCATCTTTAAATTCCACACAGTTGTCATAGTGTTTGCAAAGAGCAGGGTGATGGCAGGATTCACTGATAAGGGGTAACTTCTGATTTGGGGGATGTCCCCAAACTGGAGGAAGTCAGGAAGGAACTAGAACTTCTCTACAGGGTCATAAGAGGTTTAAAATCTGGGTGGTGGCTCATACCTTTAATCTCAGCATTTGGGAGACAGAGGCAGGCAGATCTCCTTGAATTCAAGGCCAGGCTGTTCTACATAGCAAGTTCCAGGCCAGCCAATGCTACATAATGAGATCCTGTCTTAAAACAAACAAACAAAAAAGGCCTTTAAGTCCCCTGAAGTTCTGGGGTGGGTGTTGGAAGTTATGGTTAGAAATTTACAGGGAGGGTTTACTGGCTTTACCTCTGCTGCCCACTGTAAAGACCTAGTCTGGGACAGGGGCAACAGGAAGTTGAGACAGGAGGATCAGGAGTTCAAGGCCAATTTTGGAAATATGAATCCCTTTCTCAAAGTACGAAAAATAAAGTTAAAAGGTGTCTCTAGAACTCTGGGAAACTTGGAGGCCATCAGTTTTTTTTCCCTCTTAGTTAAAAACAATTCTGGAGGGCTGATGAGATTTCTCAGTAGTTGAGAATGTGTAATCCTTTTGCAGAGGACCTGAATTCAGATCCCAGTACCCACAACGGCAGCCCACAACTGTCTGAACTCCACCTCTAGGGAGTTCTGACTGATGCCTCTGGCTTCCAAGGTCACTTGCCCTCACATGCACATACCCACTCCCCATACACACAGTTAAGAATGGTAAAAACAAAACCTTAAAATGTTAAGATAATTCGGGATTTACAAGAAACTGTAAGAACACTCAGTTTTGATGTGTTATGTTGAAAACAGATAACCTGCAATCTTCATTTTGGTGGTTCATCATTACCCTATAGGGATGCTGTAAGGATTCAACCAATCAGAGCCCAGGGTATCATTCTCAATTGTCTAACTGGTAATGATGGCTGATATACTACAGTGGTAGTACCTACACAGTATGTATCAATTAAGCATGTAGGTGGCTGATGCTTGACAAAAAACACCAGGATTATTTGATTAAACTCATTATGGAAGTATTCACAGGAAGAGAATTTGACAAAAATGTACAAATGAAAACAAAATGTAACCTTATATATAAATATATATTGAGTGTTGCCCATACACTATCCCAATTAATATTTGTATGCAACTTCCTTTGACGTAGGGACCATTTTGTCACTATTTACAGAGAAAGCAATAAGGAAGTCCTCCCAGACTACAGTACCTCGGAAGCAGAAGGCATGGTGCCTGGACAATGGGTCTGGAAGGCCAGTCTGGTTGGGGTAGAGGTAGACAGTTCTCACGCCCGGTTTGTCCCCACCGCAGGCAGGCCGAGGGGTGACGATGGGGTATCGGAGGCTGCCATCTGCCAGCCAGCCAGCATAGCACTTGTCCAGGCCATGGCTCCAGGCAGCGTAGAGCTGGCCAGTGGAGGCCAAGGTGGCATTTTGGTCTTCACAGAAGGCCTGCGCTTCCTGGAAGGTGAACTGCTCCAGGCGTGAGGCAAAGAACACTTCCCCTGGGGACAGAGACAATGGCAGTGGGACGGTTCACATGGGTCATCAGCAGAGTTCTGTTCTCACTGCCCTGGGGCAGAGCTCCTGGCACCTCTACCCTGCTCACTGGGGTTGTTCACCAACCTATGTGGCACACACTCTCCTATAGGGCCCTGCTTCGCTCAGTCACATTCCAAAGCCACACCCCTTAGATCTCTCGGGATCCTGGGCAATAGAGACGGGGTGGGGTGGGGGTGAGGGGTGGGTGGGGGGAGGGGTGAGTGGGGTGGGTGGGGTGGGTGGGGGCTCTACTTTGTACCAAGTGAGACTTTCCTGGGACTTGGGACATTCCTTGCTAAAGAAGGCAGTGTCACAGTTGAGCTGGGCTGAGCTAGTCAGTCTGTGGGGAGCTGGCTTCTACCCCTCCTTATCTAGGTTCTCCAGTCACATGTAGGTGCCTTTCCCTTGACTAATAGCTCAGCTGGCTACCCAAACCCCCCCAAGCATTCTTAGCTTCCCGATTCCTCAGATCCCTCATGGAGCTCAGTGACTACTACGGACCTGATGCACATTCCTCTGGTATCTCAGCAGCCACATATCGCCCAGGACCCTGTCTGGCTTAGGGGGCTCACATCTACCCAGCGTTTGCTTGTACTAGGTATTCTTTATGTATCTCAATTAATACTCAGAAAAACCTCGAATGTGGATATGAAGCAGCCATGTTTTACAGATGGGGAAACTGAGGCTCACAGAGGCTGAGTGGCCATGCTGAAACTTTTCTAGAATACAGTCATTTTTCAAATTGGGTTCAGTGGAAAAGCAATTTGGTGGCATTCATGGAGGTGCATGGTTGAGTAAACTTGGGAAATGCTGCACATGTTACAGAGAGTTAAAGAAGTTTGGGGCTACAGAACTTCTCACAGCCTCTGATGTGGTCATGAGCACTGGGACTCTATAAAGCAGAGGATGTGTCTAACATTTGTTTATTAGAAATCGGTCAATTCAGCCACTGAACTCACTTCTGAAGGACCACTGTCACACTCCAACATTAGGGGGTCATCCTATGACCCTTTGATGGAGAGGAGGCACTTGAATTGAAAGAAGTGAGGGGCAGGCCTCCTTTCCAATTGGAAAGTTGTGTGAGGGCAGGCCTGGGTGGGTGGTGGCAATTCTATCCCTCTTTAATGACTCTCCCTTAGTCCCTGTTGGTTTGCAAACAGGAATGTGATAATATGGCCCGTACCCTCAAGCTTGTCCACGTAGCAGTAGACATCATAGGTTTCTGATGACGGGCGCACACCATAGGTCCTGACTCCAGGGCTGCTGTCCTTGTCACCCACACATGGGGTCCGTGGGTTCACAATGGGGTACCTGTGAAAGAAGATGAGAAGGGGGTTAGGGCCTATCCTGAGGGTAGGAAAGACACATCTTGGACCATGTTTATGTATCACGACTCTTGAGCATCTGGTGGTCTTCAGAAGAGAGTCTCCTACACAGGGTGCACCCTGTCAAGCTGCAGGGCATGGGGATGCTTGAACAGGATCTCTAGGGGCTCCTTCTGTTTGTCTCTTGGAGGGAAATGACTAAGAACTTGGCATAGCACAGTTCCTGTCACCAACTTCCAGAATATGCCTTGGTTTAGGGGCATGTGTGGAATTTAGGGAACTATGCAGTCACTAGTGACTTCATTAACCCACCAAGTGCTGGGGGCTTCTTGGTTGGGGCTAGGAATGGTAGGCTTGTGGTTTACCTGACGGTCTGGTCCTGCAGCCAGCCGGCATCACACTGCTCATAGCCTGCCTCATAGGCAGCCTGCAGCTGCTCTGGTGAGGCCATGACAGCCCCGGTTTGCATGCAGGCCTGCTGTGCCTCCTCGAATGTCAAAGAGTATCTGCTGGAGCCTGGGCGATAGTGGAATACTACTCCTGGGTGACGAGGAGAGGGGAGAAAGAAACAGGTAAGATTGATGCTCATGGGGTCTGTTCTAAGCTTAGCTCCTCCACTTAGACATAATGGATTTGGGCAATTCCACCTGAAGTTCTACTTGGTGATATCATGAGTGTCATGGTAGATGGCAGTGTCCATCTGTCTATCCCAGGTAGGGACACACCAAGACCCTTTATGGATGCTATGCTAAAATGTTCTTCCCATTTGTATATTTTCATTCGGGGGATCAGCTGGGCTCTGTGCTGAGTGATGTCCCTGTCCCTGGAGACATTTCCTGAGCATAGAGAACACCATCTGCTTAGCTCAAAGGGCTGCAAGTGTTTTCCAGAAAGAATTAGATAACTATATCAGGCTTTTCTTCTTCCTGAGATAGTCTTGCTGTTTTCAGACTGGCTTTGAATTCACAACTCCCCTGCCTCAGTCACCTGTGCTGTGATTACAGATATGAGCCATCATACCTGGTCTCTAGAAGATGCTTTGTGGACCATGTGATTTCTGTTACAATTGCTCAACTCAGCTGCAACTGTCCTGAATTAGCCACAGTCTTAAACACATGGGTGTGGCTTTGATCTAATCATACTTTATTTGTGGGCAGTGAAATTTGAAACTTACATGATTTTCATGTATCACAAAATAAGTTTCTCCCTTTGACTCTCCCTTCTTCAATTGTTTAGGGATGTGGAAGCATTCTTAGTTCACAGGCTACCTCAGAGCATCTGCATTCAGATGTTAACTAAACTTTGATTTTGTTTGTTTTTCAAGACAGTGGTTTTTTTGTTTTTGTTTTTGTAGCTTTGGAGGCTGTCCTGGAACTCACTCAGTAGACCAGGCTGGCCTCAAACTCACAGATCCACCTGCCTCTGCCTCTTGAGTGCTGGAATTAAAGGCGTGCACCACCACAGCCCTGCATACTTTGTTGATTTTTATGCCAGTGTGAGGACAAGGCCAGGCAAGGCCATGGAGTCACCCAGAGCAGTGGTTCTCAAGTGGCTCTGTTTTGTTTTAAACCATGTTTTAAACCATCTACTTGTTACACAGCTTGGTTTGCACAGTTGATTTCATTTGGAGTCAATGATTTGTAGCCAAAGAGTAGACATAACTGCCCGGCCTGTCCTCAGGAGAGTACTTACCCCCCGGCAAGTGGGGCTGCCCAGGGGCTCCAGCTGCACCTGGTGCCAGGGTCACTCGAACAACCAGGTCCTCACTGGTGAAGGCCGTGGCAGAGTCCAGCCCAGCTGTGGTTTCCTCCGGAAAGCCCCAGGGCCTGGTGGTTTCCTCAGTTCTTCTCTCAGCCTCAGGGAAGGTCGTGGCCCTCACAGCAGGGAAAACGGTGAGGGGCTCCTCGGGCTCTGAGATGGTGGGGGACAGGTCGAAGATGGGCTTTGCGGTGAGGATCTCATTGCCCCGGACTTCTCCCTCCGTGTTATTTCGGGGCAGGGGCAGCTCCAGGTCTGGCCAGGTCACTGTCTGGATGGTGATGTCGTCTTCGCCACCCACCCCGAAGAAGTTTTCTGGGATGTCTACAAAGTCTTCACCTGGGACAGGATGCAAAGATAAACTTCAGTGCTCAGCCTGGGGCTGTTTCGAGGAGACAGAAGCCGAATGTGCCCCATTTCCTCCTTCTTGGCTGGAGCCAGGCACCTGGCCCTGCTCATCACAAAGGCCTTAGGTTCTGTGGCTCCTCCATACCCTCAGGGTGGTTCCAGAACCTCCCACAGATGCCAAACTCTTGGAATGCTAGAGTCCCTTATATAACCTAAGTGCCACTGCTGGACTCCTATGTCATATTTTGGTTGCTTATAACTCCCCATACAGGGTAAGTGCTATTTTAATAGCTGTTATAGTGTATTGTTTAGGGGGAAAATGGCAAGAAAAATTCTGCACATATTCAGTATAGATGCAGTTAAATTATTAAAGCCAGAGGTTGGCTGGATTTGTAGAAGCAGTAGGATACTCATGGTATATTGATTGGCCAGCTCACTGCTTATCAAATAAAATCAGTTCCTATTGCCACCACCCCACCAGCTGCTGCTTTGGCCCCTGTGTGTCCAATGGGACGAGGTGAATCAGTGATAAGGGATATTCTGCATCTTGCAGAGGTGAGTTGTGCAATCCATGCAGGCATTGTTGGAGAGCTGCCTGCCTCAGAGTCCTGGACAAATGAGGGGCTGGCAGACATAAGGTAGTTATTAGTAATGACAATGCTTATGAGGGTGATACTTCCAGAGTGGTGACACTATCAAAGAGTGAATAGAGGTTTTTGGGAGTGAGGGTGTCCCTCTTCACGTAAGATCGGACTGTAGAAGTCAAATACAAAATGAGCTGTCACTGAATTATCACCCATCAGATTGTAAAATGTATGCAATACATTCACCTAATTTATGCTGTTCATTTTTTTCCTCTAAGAGTTAGGAGTTAATTATAACTTATGGTGTGTTAAAATTTTGTTCTAATTTTTCCAAATGAAGTCACAGAAATTTCTCTTACTATTACAGAAATACTGTTTAGTTGCATCCAGATTAAAAAGGAAGTTTCCAGTGGGCTCGTGCCCTCTGACAGGTCCCACCTCCTCTCTATCAGAGGGGTTTGGGGTCCTGACTTTTCCAGCCTTGTGCAGCAAGGGGGAAGAACTGGGAATCCAACCCAAGGAAACAGAGACTCTGGAGCATATGCTTTAAACACTGTTCTGTGTGGATCCGATGCAATGGGACCGGATATGCTGTGACTTCCATTGTTTCAACCGGGAGGGAGATGATGATGGTACCTTCCCAAGATCTTACTGGGACCTGATTTTGGTTGCAGTCTTCCCCTCCCCAGCTTCAGCACTAGTCCCACCTGTGTAGCAGATGGCATCATAGCGGGATGAGGGATCCGGATAGCCTGTCTGGTTGGCGTGCAGATAGACAGTCCTTACACCCAGAAGGTTGCCCCCGCAGTTGGGCCGAGCCTTGGAGATGGGGTAGCGCACGCTGCGGTCCGCCAGCCAGCCGGCGCTGCACATGTCCATCCCCCCCTGCCAGGCCAGGTAGAGCTGGCCCGTGGTAGCCAGCCGTGCCCCCAGCCTTCGGCACTCATTGGCTGCCTCTTGGAAGGTGAACTTCTCCGGGGATGTGGCATAAAAGACCTCGCCTGTGAAGGACACACAACACAGGATGAGGGTTTCACTCCCATCCCACTCTGCCTGTGTTCCCAAGAGGTCCACATGTTTTCACGGAGTTTTATTCTTTTTTCTGTGGTTCCACGTTGGCATCTCATAGCTTGTCTATCACTCCCCAGTCTCTATTCCTTTCTGAACTTTTGGGTAGGATGCCATCAATCTCCTAACAAGGACCTTCTCCTCCCTAAAATAGAAAAGCTGCCAAACGAGCAAGGGGTGAAGCAAGCGTAAAATCGGTAAGCACCTGTGGCCCAGGTGGTTGCTGTTCATCTTCCCACCACTAGGGGAGCTTTCCTTTAACACAGGCACTCTCATTCCTAGGAAACCATGCCAAATTCAAATTCTGCTGAGAAAAGCAAGCCTCACCTTTGACCTCTTAGAGTACTGGCTTCCAAACCAGGACCAATGGTACCCAAACTAGCTTTTAAACGATATTTCCTAAAACCTGCCAAGGTTGTGCTTGAGGATGGGGTGGGGGTAGGAGTATAGCTGGTCACTCATTGGTTTCAGGTATCCTTGCTCAATGGCAGTTCAGGCCAACTGCTGTATTTGTCTTGGGTTGGTCAAACATGGAGACACAAATGCTTGTTATGTAATAGAGGGTTTGGCTCCTGAGATAAGAACTAGAAGGGGGCATGGGCGGTAAGAAAGTTGGGCTGTGTCACCCTAGCTTTTGTCCTAGCTGGAGGAGCTTGGGAGCTGTGGGAGGCATGCTCAGAGATTTCGTGTGTGTGTGTGTGTGTGTGTGTGTGTGAAGAGATGAATGGTGCAGATGGGAGAGGGGTGTCAGCTACATGGCAGGGTAATGCTATGTTCAAAGTTAGTGCACTCAAAGAAGAGAGACATGACCTAGGTTTCTCCCTCAAACAGCCCATCAAAAGGCCCAAGGTGGGACTTCAACATGGGGTCAGGGAAGTGGAGAGAGTGGATGGGGAACGTGTTTCCTCAGGGTGTCCCTCTTGAGTGGGAAATGGAGTCCCAGGCTGCCACTGAGCTATACCCCAGTCCTAAGCCTGGCTCTGATGGCACCATGGACCTTAAGACAGGGCTGGGTTGGCCAGAGATGCTGAGGCTCTGGATAAGAGAGACTGTCCCAGAGGACTTGGGAATTTGGGGTTTGGTGGGACCACTAGATGGTTTGCAGGTGCCTGTGGCCACTGAGACCCCCTCCAAAGTAGATAGTGAGTATTTCAGCAAGAGACCACCTCCCTTCATGGCAGGAGAGGCCTGAGCCAAGGGCCCTGGCCCAGAGGAGGCCTTGTGTAGCTATCCCAAATGTGAGCGGGGCGATGAGGAAGGGAAACACATCTTGAAGGGAGCTAGCTGGCTTTTTCATGATGGGAGGTGTTGCCTCACCCTCCATCTCCTCAGCGAAGCAGTACACATCGTAGGTCTCATTGGTGTCTCTGATGCCGTAGGTTCTCACTCCAGGGAACTCATCCTTGTCTCCATAGCAGCCTTCCCGGGGAGTGTGGATGGGGTACCTGTTGGGAAGCCAACATGGGAGTGTGACACTGGGAACTGAGGAAGCCCAAGGTCATGGTTCATGTAACTTCACCTTCATAGGTGGAAGTAAAGGCATAATACTACCCCTGTCCAAGCCCGCTCTGAATGCCAGCTTCCCCTCCAGTCTCAATGCTACTCCCTGGCTAAGACAGCCTCTATTACTGCATATTCTTGGTACCAGACATACTCTCCCCCGGGGAAGACACTTTTCATATAAAAGGCCAGAGTCTTGTGGGTTTTGTAAACTGCAGGCCTCTGTATCAGCATGGAACATGCATCCAGTGGGCGTGGCTGTATTTCAACACAACTTTATTTACAGAAACAAAGGAGGAATTGGGTTGGATTTGGCCATTGGTGCCTACTTTGTACCTGTTGAGTCATATGTCACCAAGTGAGGCAGGAGCTGGACAAACTAAGATCTAGAAAGGTTAATAGACTTGTTCAAAGTCGCACAGCTTCTAAATTCCAGTTTTTTGGATTTGGGTCTAGCTCTTTCTGAGGCCAATATGTGAACTCTTGACATATTAGACTGTTGTCTCACTTCTTTTTTTTATTTACTGATTTTTGTGGTTTGTCCCAGTTTGCTTCAGCTGTCAATTTGACACAGCCTAGAGTTGTCTGGAGAAGTCTCAATTGAGGGAACACCCAGATTAGCCTGTGGCCATGTCTGTGAGGGGTCATCTCAGTCTGGGATCAATGTAGCAGAGCTCAGCCTGGACAGGTGAGCCTGGGGTGTATAAAAAAGCTGACTGAGCATGCCTGTGGGCGATCTAGACAATGAGCCAGGCAGCGAGCCAGAAGCAACATTTCTCCAGGGTTCCTGCCTCTCAGCCTTTTTTGTCCTGACCCCAGTGATGGCCTATGGCCTGGAACAAGCTGAAATTAACCTTTTCCTCCCCAAGCGGCTTTTGATCAGACTGTGGCATCTCAGCAACAGAGATGAAACCATAACAATGCCGTATGGCCTTGTGACCTATGATCCCCTGACCTTCCCAAGCTTGTAAAGCTGTCTTCCTGAGGCCTGTGCACTGGCTATGGGGCTAGCACTGTGATGCACATGGGGTGGTCTGTCTGTCTTTACAGGCTTGAAACTGTGCTGGGATCCTTGAAGCTGGATTCTATCTGTACTGCTTTGCCACGTGGCTCCCAGGACTCACTCAGAAAAAGATGTGTCTATTTGCCTAATTTACATATGTCTTATCTTACCAAAAGGATATAAATAAAGATCGTGTATGAAAATAAACAAAACTCTAAAGTTAAAGACTGACAAGCAAACCAGAAGTAAAGAAACATCGACAATAGGAAAAACAGGCTAAGAGAGTAGTGAAGTTCAGAACAAGGCAGCTGGTGTTATTTTCTCCTGGGAGAGAAGACAATGGTGACCTGGGATGGGACATTGGGCGTATATGCTGACAAGGCTGGACCCTGATCCCTAACCTAGACTGGCCATGGGGTCATGTTCACACCAGCTAAGTACTGGTCAGCATTCCCACACCATCACCTGCCCCATTCTGCTAGGCTCTGATGGTTCTTTGGGGTTGGGGGGGTCTCACCTGACCGTCTGGTCAGCCAGCCAGCCTGCATCGCATTGGTGGAAGCCATCCTCGTAGGCAGCCTGCAGTTGCTCAGGTGTGGCGATGATGGCGCTGTTCTGCAGGCAAGCCCGCTGTGCTCTGTCAAAGTCTAGAGTGTAGCGTGTGGAGATGGCTCTGTAGTGGAACACGATGCCTGTGGGAGACACAGACCGGGAGGGCTGGTTAGGTGTGAGCTCCAGTTATTGACACTCTAGAGATATGGTGGCAAGAATCAAGGGGGCCCTGGGCATTCTCTGGACCCAGGCTGACATGGTTTCTGTCTGTTCTTTTTATTATATTTTATTAATTCTTCGAGAACTTCATACGTGCAAGCAATGTATTTTGATCATATTTACCCCCCCCCCCATTCTTTTCCTACTCTTTCCAGCTCTACCCAAAATATTCCATCCGCCTATCCCACTGAGTCTAATTTGTGTTGTCTATATACTAATGGGTATAGGGCCATCTACAGGAGTGTGGTCAACCTACCAGGGGCTATACCATTAGAGAAAATCAGCTCCCCTTCCCTCCAAAGCCATCATCAGCTGACCACAGCTCCTCAGCTGCTGAAGTTGCGTGGGGTTCTTTTGCCCTTGCTGGAACCCCATCTCCTCTCTACCCTGCCCCACCCCACCCCACCACCCTAACAGGGTGTTCACCACCTCCTCACAAAGCATTCCTTCTAGAACACCTCTAATAATTCTGACAATTAGAAAGTTCTTTGAAATAAAGCAAACACTGTCTCCTTGTAATTTTTTTTTTTTTTTTTTTGCCACTCTAGGACCCTCTGTTGTTTTTTGTTAATTTTTCCTCCCAGGGAAGGAGACACCAAGGGTTCCATATCTCCAGTAGCTCAGGGGCATCCTAATGAGTGCTCTTAGAGAGAAGGGAGACCAAGGAGTAAGCCCTCAGCCATTTCTTTGGCACCTGAAGCTGAGAATAAAGGGATGGTGGTGGAGGAGGAGTTGCCTGGATGAGATGTTAGGAAGCCACTTTCATTCATTTCTAGGGTCAGCCATGCCGTTCGAATCACTTGCTCAGGTGCAAAGTGGGCACACTTACAAGGCCCGCTGTGATGTAGGACACACCCCTCTGTGTATGTCTACGAGGCTTTACCTGAAGAGGGAAGACCCACCCTGACTGTAGATGGCACCATCCCATGGTCTGGGGGCCCCGAGTGAATAAAAAAGGAAAAGGAGAAAGGGAGCGATCTGAGCACTCTGAGTTCTCTCTCTGCTTCCTGACTGTCGATACAGTATGATACGCTTCCTCATACTCCCACTGTCGTGTTCCCCTACCACGGTGGACTGTGTCTCCTCACACTATGAGCCAAAGTAACTCCATGCTCTTCCAAGTTCATTCCCATCAGGTATTTGGCCACAGCAACAAGAAAAATTGACATACCCAACAAGTCAAGGATTGTTGGCAAACACCAACTGCCAATACCAGGATGTATTCATGTGTCCTGCCCACAGTGTCCCAATCCCACAGAGCATGGCATTGCCAACTCCAAGTTAGAGGAAGCCAAGCATAAAATGGGTATGCAGAGGGGTGGAGTGGGAAAGCTGGCCACACCGGCAAGGGCATCATTCTAATTCTTTTCACAGAGAACACTTTACCTTTTACTATGACCTCCAGGGTGGCTTCACTATCCTCAATGCCATGCATCACTTCACAGCGATAGATCCCAGAGTCATTGGAGCGAAGGTTCTGGATTTCCAGTGTGGCATCACTGGGGATGGCTGGATAGTTGGGTAATGATACCTTGTCTTGGTAGATGCTGTTCACTCGAACCTGTCCCTCCGTGGCCACCAACAATACTACCTCTTTTTCCTTGGAAACGCGACTCCACTTGATTCTTGGGGTAAGGGGGGCAGTGGAGGGTGCAGTGGTCACAGGATGCATGGGGTCGATGAAGTAGCAGGGGATGGTGAGGGAAGTCCCTAGAAGGACCTTCAGTGGGGATGGTTGAGGGATGCTCACGCTCAGTGAGTTGTCATGGTCTGTTGGGGAAAGGGTGAGAGGGCAAACAGAAATGTTAGGATGACAGAGACCACAAGACACCCAGACAGTCCTGAGAGGGACCCTGAGGATTCCCAGGAAGCTCCACAACACCCTCTCCAGATCAGCATCCCTCAAGACCTCTGGTTCCAGAAGAGCATGGGAGAGACATCACAGGGAAGACCTCAAACTACAGTCACCTATAGGATGCTAAACTATAGATAAACAGGACTCCTACTCTTAGGGTAGCCATATATTTGATTCAGAGATTTTAGAAAAAATATATTGGGGTATTTATTCTGGAAATGATGTGTTCCCCACAAAAGGTTCATGCACGGGATACTTGGCAGTGTTTATTGAGAGGTGACTGGATTATAGGGATTCATCCGTTGGTCAATTCAGAGCTGAACTGGGATGTGGGACCTCACTGGAGGGCAATAGATCACTGTGAATTTGAAAGGCATATCTTGCTCACTGCCCCTTCCCCATCTCTCTGTCTCTCTGTGTGTCTCTGTCTGTCTGTTTCTCTGCTTCCAGGCTGCCAGGAGGTGAACGGCTCTCCTCCACTCTGTCTTTAGGCATGATGTTTCTGCCTTGCCACAAGCAAGCTATTTCCCTGAGACATTTTCTCACAGAGCAGGAACCAATCTAACTCATTGGCTGTAATGGTTATCAAGGGATATGCAAAATTCTACCACTTTTAAACATGAGACACAGAACTTCAAAGACATATCCATCCCATCTCGGAAGGTCTGCTTTGGATTTTAGTGGGACCTTGTAGGAGGACAAGGCTTTTAAGGTAAAGAGTAAGAAAATGAGGGAAGGACAGGTCAGGCATGCATATATATGCGCCTGTAGAGTCAGATCTGGAAGTCTGACTGGGTAGGACAAGACAACATAAAAATTATGGAGCATGTCAATAGAGAAGATGTGGTGTTTCCCAAATCCTGTTGGAGAGACACAGCCTTCCACATAATACCTTTCATGGAAGGTCTTTAAATATACAGAACCCTTCCTTCCAGGGGATGCTACAGGTTGAAATGAAAGTTTAAGATGGATATGGCTGGTGGATTCATAGTAGGGTAAGGACAAGGGGGGCGGTAGGCAGGAATGTCTGGAGTCCAGCTTGGACATTCTGATGTGTGGACCAACACCACTCCACCACAAACACCTTCATCTGCTGCTCCGCCCCCATGCCACTGGCCACAGCTTGGCTCTGTAGTGGTGGTCTCAGGGAATGGCCACCGTTGAGCCCAGCTCAGTGGTTGTTAAAGCTCCCAGCCAACCCTCTCAGTGCACTGTTTTGCTGATGTGGACATGTCTCCCCAGGTGATGGCCAGCGTCTGGGTATTCACAGGTCTCTGAGCACCAATGGAAGTCCAGCTACTACCCACGTCTAAATATTCAAAAGCTTCGAATCAGGCCAACAAGTGACTGAATAAAATACTGTGTATCTTTCCATTTGACCACAGGAATATTTTTTTTTTACCTAGAGTTTTGCATTGGGAGAAAGATGATCCAAGTCTCCTCTCGTCCCCCCTCAACCCACACTGTGAGGGAGGTCTCACAAACATGTTTAGCCCTGGAATCCCAGATCTCCACACCAGGTGTAAAGTTCTTCACCCCTCCCTTGAGCCAGGGGTGGGAGGCTCACACCAGGACTGTGTCCTCACTTCTAGAGGAAAGATCAGTCCTTCTGCCTCTGCTCCTCAGGTTCTTTCCTCCTCGTTAGTGTCCCTCCCCACCCATGCTCTCTGGAAGCCTTTCCCTTTGGTTTTCCATCTCTCCCCCCTCACACACACACACACACACACACACACACACTCTCTCTCTCTCTCTCTCTCTCTCTCTCTCTCTCTCTCTCACCATGCAGCAGTTCTGAATGCGGTCCCCAAGGAGAGGCTGCTGGGAAAGATGCCCAGCAAGTGTCCTTGCTAGAGGGCATCCAGGAGTGGGTGCATGTACACCAGATCTATGCACATATGCATGGGTGCCTTCCTACTGCAGCAAGAAAGGGGCAGGACCAGGAAAAGGCCAAAAGAAGGGGGAGAGGGGCTGTATCTCAGAACAAGTTGTGTCCTGTGCTCAGAACCCAGTACCCGCCCATTACTGAATAAAGGAGCCATGCATGGGATTGTCCTCACCTGGAACTTCTTCGGAGATCTCTGCAGCGATGACCCTCAGAGTCACAAAGACCAGTAGTAAAGTGGTCATAGTTCACCTGGGGGAGGCAGCAGACATGTTATTTGGACAGTTAAGGCACAGAGAGTGGAAGAGATGGTGTGACAGAATCCACCACCAAGGCTCTGAAGGCACACTGCGCAACAAGAGGCTGCAGTGGTTTGAGTGGTTGTTTCCCCCAAGAACCCTTTCCCTCAGAAACCTTCATGTCTTTCTAAGCTTAATTCAGAGGGGGTGTACATTGGTCCTCCCCTCTTCTAGCCAGTGGAGACTCGCCCCAATGAATTCCTGTGGTAGCTCATCATGGGTGCCAGGTGGGCCATAGATGGCCCAGGTTCACACACTGTTCCCATGTGTCTGCTAGGGGTTTTGTATCAGATGAAAACTGGAATCTGTAGACTGAGATGGACCTCCCTCTGCAGTGTGGGTGGGCCACAGACAACCTCCTGAAGGCTTGAACAAAAAAGGACCCTCTCCCGAGGAACAGAGACTTCTTCCCTGATGGCCAACTGTTTTTCCTCTCTTTGGACTTGACCTGAAGCATGAGCTGGGCTTTGAACATGTGGAACTTCAAACTGAAGATGGGCATCCAGCTCCCCTGAGCCTCCTTGCTAGTCTCTCTGCAGCTCTGGGGACCCCCAGCCTCAACTTATATTGTCCCCATTCTCTCGCTCTCCCTGTGCCCCTCCCTCCTTTCTCCTCCCCCTCTCTCAGATACATAGTCATGAAGGGGATGTCCTCTGCTGAAAATGAATGGTACATGATGACAATTTGGTCAGTGGTGGAGTGCATATAAACAATAAGTTTACAGTGGAGGTGAAAACACCGTATTGCCTAGTGACAATGTAATGTCCCAGAGCAACACATTTCTCACCTGTTTGTAACGACACTGGTGCAAACACATTTACCACATGCTAATATGAAAGTATGGGGAATTTAATTATGTATATGGTATCATAATCTCTGTAATGACAATAAATGGCTGTTACAATATATTTCCTATACTATACTCTGTGTTATTATTTTGGCATGTATTATAGCTTATAAGAAACATATAATTAAAACAGTCCACCATGGACTCACTAAGCAGCTTCAGACACTTCTTATTAAATGTGTATCTTAATTGCATCAAGAAGCCATGTAAAGGGCTAGGATATGGTTCAGTGCTCAAGTGTTTTCCTAGCATGCTTGATATCTAGTGACACACACATGCACACACAGGCACACACAGCAACAGCCATGATGAGGGATTGAACTCTATCACCTAGATATACATGTTCAAGTGCACAAATGACACAGGAAAGAGAGGGAGGAAGGGAGGGAGGGAGGGAGGGAAGGAAGGGAGTGTGGGGGCGGGGGAGTTATCCCTTTAGGGAACCCTAATGCAGCCCTTCAGATGCAGAGACATGACAAACTGTCCAGCTTCCCTGGTGGAATCTGGGTGTGCCACCCACTTCAAATTCAGGAACCTTGCATATTTTAGCAAGGATCATGTGATTTTAGGCAAGAGTCAAGGCCCTGGCTAGAGTCAGGAAGACACAGCCCATAAGCAGGAGTGAGATGAGCAACTAATACCAGGAAGTGAGAACCTAGGACTCCTGTAACCCTCTTCTGGACCAAATGCAGCTTCATGTGAACTGGAAAGGGAAGTTTCCTAATTGTCACCAGCTGGTCAGCTGCCGTTCATGGACACAGATGGGTTGCAACCACCACTTAAGGGTGTCCCCTGCACTTTAGGGACCTCCAACTCCAGCCAGCAAGCATAAGGGACCTTCTCAAGTCACCAGCTGGAGCGGTAGTCTTCAGCCAGTTGCATGTAGAAACAGTCTGGATGCCATGGTACCACTGCCCTGGAGGGTGCACAACCATGTCACACACACCTTCCGAGACTTGCACTGTGTAACTCTATGTACCATGTTCAGAGGCAACAGCATTTACTTTTGGTCTAAGAAGAAGAAAGACAGACTTGGGAATGGGGCGGTGGGAACTAAAGGGCAGATGGGGCCTGGGGCCACACAGAGCATCCTCGGTGGAGGCAGGACCCCTGGCCTCCACACCTCAATCTCAACGCTGCCATAGCCTGACAGTCCAGCAGGTGTCGCTCTCTGCTTTCACCACAGATGCGGCTAGGTCAGCACAGGGATCAAGGGAGCCAGCACCCTTAGGAGCATCAAGGCTGTGGGGAGGGAGACACTGGTGTTCCGATGCAGGGCTGCCTGGGGAGGGGCAGTCTGGGCCCTGCACAAGGTAACCCTTTCCTGTTATGGATCTTGGCCTTTTTCCATCATCCATCCTCTACCCACACCATAAGCATCTACCACCGGAGAAATGAAAGGGCCTTCTGTGTGGCTGAGGGCTTAGAGGCACGTCACCCCTGTTCTGTAGAAAGCCTGGAAAGTTCCATCATTCTGAGAAATGGTCCCTTACATCTCCTTAGGGATTTTCAAAAACATCTCATACTGCAGGTCCTGTACCTTGAGGGGACACTGAGTTGGGGGTGGTGGTGGCTCTTGTTCAAGGTCAGGGCTAAGATATGGTTTCCTGGAGAGGGTAAAGAAGATCAGTCGAGGTGTTGGTAGAGGGACCTTTACCTCAGACCCAGACACAAAGCTAGCCTGTTCCTCCCTCAGAACACCCTTCACTTGGAAGTTTCGTGTATGTTTCAGAGTTGTGTTTCTTCCCTCGCTCCCCGAACAAGCTGGACATTGTCTGGGGTGCGGTGCTCTGTGGGGCTAGGACTTGCTCTGTTTTTCTCCCGGGCTTAGACCAGGAAATGTGAAGGAATGAGAAGGGAGAGGGAGGGAGGGGGTCGGCGTAGAGTGGGCAGCAAAACTAATTTTATTTCTTCTTTAAAAACTTTGGGATAGAAATATTGCAATAAATATGCTCTTGTGTTTGTGTGTGTTTTCTCAGTTGTAACGAAAATAGGGAGAGATTCCATTCTGTCTGGGTTCCAAGCCTCTCTGGGACTCACTGAGTCTTTTATGTGAGAAGACTGGCTTTGCCAGCCCATGCTCACTCACGGACAGAGAAACCTTTCTCAATGGGAAGAAAATTGAAGCAGTGGGAAGGGATGGTGTATATAGGGCCTTGAGGCGGGGGAAATGGAGAGGACCTGAGATGGACAGTGAGGCTCAGAGGCACAGGAGATGGCCCAGCAGAAAGCTCCAGAATCCCTGAGGCCAAGGATTGGCCTTGTCAGGAAGCAATTGTTAGGAGTCTTGACAAGGAAAAGGAGCAGGCCCCTGCTTTTCAGCCATGTGTGTGCCTGTCTTTCTGTGTGTGTGCACACGAGTGTGTGTGCATCTGTCTGTCTGTTTCTTTCTGTCTTGGACTCTTTCTGTGTGTGAGTGTGTCTGCCTGTCTATGTGTGTATTTGTATCTGTGTGTCAGTTTCTCTCTCTCTCTCTCTCTCTCTCTCTCTCTCTGTGTGTGTGTGTGTGTGTGTGTGTGTGTGTGTGTGTGTGTGTGTGTGCCTGTGCTCCATAGTTGGAGGCAGGGACTTGAAGGGGAAGTTCATTCTGTCACTCTGAAGTCCTTTTCCAACAGCTCAGTCAAGATAGACTCAGCCTCCAGCTCTGTCAGGCCACTTACTGCCTCTTAACATGGGACCTGCCCGTGCTGTTTCACAGATGGAGTGAGATGTCTCGCCAGCCAGTTCTTCGCGTCTGGGATGGGCACCGTGCCTTTGGCACTGCCGCTAGGTGACTTTCCGTAAAGAACAAAACTGTTTTCATTTTAACAGCAACATCATCACCCTTCTAAACACCAGGGAAACAGGAAACAGGGCATGTGTGTGTGTGTGGGGGGGGTAGGGTTCACCATCATCCTGCATCGCAATCTCAATGTTTAATTTTTGTAACTGCCATCTTTTTGCAACCTATTTTCTGTTTCCACAGAATTCAGCTGATAAAACAACAGATTTACTCTTTCAAAAAGATGACGATGGGGTTCACAGAATGACCTTCTTTCCAGGAGGCTTGTGCAGGTAGCTCAGACAGGACGTTTGCCTCTTCCTGAATGAAGAATCAGTGGGTGGCTCCAGTCCCACCTCCAATCCTTGTTTAGCCAGTGATCCATTCCATTGCCAATGGCTCACTCATGATCTTTTCACGGCTCCTACAACCCACTCCCACATAAGACACAGGACACAACCTCAGGGATCTGCTGTGTTCCCTACGGACAGGTCCCCTGTGCAGACATTCTTAGCCCTTCCTTCATTAGCTCCAGAAATTTTCCTTAGAACCACAGAAGAACAGAGCTGGGATTGACCACTGTGAACTTCAAACCCAATGCATTAATTTTTGTAGCTGAAGAAACCAAAGGCTCAAAGGGGTTCTGTGTTTCATTGAGGACCGCACAGCAGGTTGAAAGTGGCACCATAGCTGGGGTCCAATTCTGAGAACTTGTTTTTCCTCGTTCCCAGACTTTGTGAGCTTTACAAAGCAGGGATCGCTCCTGTCTTAGTCCTTGTTGTCTTCCTAATACTCAGTGTAGAGTGCCCCCCACACACAGAGAGAGAGAGAGAGAGAGAGAGAGAGAGAGAGAGAGAGAGAGAGAGAGAGAGAGGGAGAGAGAGAGCTGATCATCTCAGGAGTCACCTCCTTCAGCCTGAGTTCTTGGATGGTGGGGAGGTGGTACAAGCGGCTCACAATGTTCCAGCCTTCATGTGTGCACAGTCCTAGGAGTTAGCGCCCCACACTTCACACTGGTAAGTCTCAGCTAGAGCAATACAGCTTGCTCACACTGCACATGACTGTACTGACACATCAATATGGCATGAGACTTCAGGAAGGTCACAGACTAGGTACAGCTCAGAGGAGTACCAACCAGGGTCTTTCCCTACCAGGAGAACCTTGGCAGTGCTACGCTGGACTCATGCCAGCTCTCCACGGTGAAGGTGAAGCATCTTTCTTCCAATTCCACACCCAGCAACTGTCACATTCCCACCTTGGGTGTTATGGGAGTATTTACATTATGGTAATCAGCAAACACCCATGAGGTGAAAGCTCTTGCTTTTTCTGAGAGTGGATTTACCAG